TGTGCTTGTACGAGGTACATTCAATAAGAAAGCAAAACATAAATTACACACGCGAGTCACTTTTTTTGCTCCCGCTACGAGAATGGCGGCTATTCCTTGGTTGTCAGCCGGGTTTTAGCGAGGTCGATGCTATTACCTCAAAAACACACAAGAGACCACACGAAGAAAAAATAGAACATCATAAATTCGTGTTACAAATGGGCAAGAAATGAAAACGCCGCGAGAGCCTACGATTTTACCATCTCGTGGCCTTCAACAAGTGGTGTGAAGTGACCGTCCCGTGTGTTGGTGTTGCGAGTGACAATACGAATGAATGTGGGTGGGAATGTGAACAAAATCAGAGTCGACGGAACCTCTTGTTGGAATGTCCACACACGGGTCATTTCGCCGACCACTGGCAGAGAAGAGAACGCTATTGCACGAAAGGGTTGCGGCAGGTGGAACAGCAGTAGATAATTCCACTATTGTCGTCTGTCACGAGAAAAAAAAAAAAGGGTGAACGGTTGCACATGATGGTGTGGGCAGTGTCACGATCGGAAAGCTAATTCGAGAGAACTGTTGTAGGCACAATCATCACCTCCCCCCCACTTCCCACGTGCATGCCGCAATACACGCCGTAGGTGACGGCAGACCACCTCCCATCCTCATTATTTCGAAGGTTACGCTTGACATCACTTTTCCGAAGAATTTCAGCGACAACTCCTTGGCAGCTGGAAGCAAAACGGGAAAATTCATCAGGATCCGAACCAAGCGGCAAACGATTAACACTGTCCAAATGCTCCGGCTTCATGTTGTCCATCTTATTCTGTATGCGAATGAGATCGGCCTCTGCTGGCTCGGCTGCAGCGGCGTCAAGAGCCTCCTGACGCTTCCCTCGCTCCTGTGGACGATAAAGGCAACGCAGCGTCATCCTGCAGCGGCGGCACTCTCTGTGAAACATCTTGCAGGGACTGCGCGTCGGAGTCCCCAGCCACAGAACTTGCACCTGCCACCAGAGACACTCGCTGTGGCACAAAAGCCTGCTGCGCCGGAGGTTTCGACAAAGAGGGCCGTCCAGAAAATTCCTGCCGCAAAGGGCTCGTCCGCAAAATTCCAGCTGGCAGCGATGACTGCAAACGTTCTCCAGAAAGTTCCAGCCTCAAAGGGCTCGTGGCTGGTGCAATCGAGGGTACCGGCGAAGGCGCACGCGAAGGTGCATGCAAAACTGGTCCTCTAGGCGAAGCGGCAAATCTGGAAGCACTAAAATCCGGACTTTGTGACAGTTGAGGATGATGCGGTTGCTCGTACATGGCCTCTTTTTCAGGAGTAGTAGTAGCGACTGGGTGGTGCACGAAAGAAACTGACTGCTGTACGGTCGGCTGTTGAAATCTCAAACGGGCATCATTATCCTCGACACGGCTAATCGACTGCGAACGTCGATCTTCAGCTGGACGTGTGTCAGAGCAGTGGACAGATTCACGCGAGACAGCTACAACGTCCACTCCACCACGGTGCGATGTCGGTGACGGTCGAAGATGGGTGAGAAGCTCTTCTAACAACTTTTCGGTGCGTGACACGGGAGTGGAAGCTGCAGGTTGTGACAAAGTGCGACGTGTCTCCATAGGCAAAACTGTGGCCGAGGGCCTACCATTTTCCACATCCGGAATCGCAGATTCTCGCACAGCCTTAGAGTGTTCCCTCAACTGCATATCCGCCAAACGGTACGCCAAGGAATTCACAGTCTGAGGCACTGCAGGAATAGACGAGCGCGACGGTGGGTGCGGTTCCCCTGGCAATTCTAGGTTGAGGTTCCCTAATGCAGAGGTTCTCCATCGATGGTGGCGTTGAGGTTCCCTAGTGCAGGGGTTCCCCTTGGACTTTTGTGGGAAACGGTCCCCTAATGCAGAGGTTCCCTAATGCATTGCAACGGCCCAGGACGAGCCATACCAAGTCCAACTCCAGACTCGACTTTTTCTTCCTCCGAGGGCACACTACTATCATCAGACTCATCCCTGTCATAACACACTTGCCTGCTGTGACGGTTGCCGTCTCGGTCTTCATGGTCGCTGTGGTCGTGGTCACGGTTGTTGTCGTCCCGGTGGCGGCGGCTTCCAGAACGCTTGGATTTCTTCCGCTTCTCGTGCCTGGCCTGGTCCCCAACACGCTCGTCTTCGTTGTTGATATCCCGAGCCCTGTGACGATCACGCCCTTCGTCGGCATATGCGCGATATTCTGTGGCTTGGTGCTGCGGATAGCCGCCCTGCCCCCGCGGTGATCCAGCGTACGATCCGTTACCCGCAGATTGAGCGAAGTGCGTAGCGTCGTCTTGCTGCGGCCAGTGGGCATGGCGAAGGCTGAATAGGAGCTGGTGCACATTGAGACGCTCAAACGGCGTCAAGGAATTAAGAAAGTGCGGGTTCAAAAGGTCTCCAAATTGGACATGTAGCACATGCCTGTCACGGAAAAACAGTTCTGCAAACCTGCGGCACGAATGCCACGCTGCCACAGCATCAACCCGATGGGTGTGGTCAAAAGGTAGTTGGGTGGCACGCGTGTCAAAAGTACGCGAGAGGAAGACATGATCGCCATCTTGTTCCACACAATCCGGCACAGCGATGGAGATTCCCTCCTCAGCGGCGGTCCGCGAAGTTCCCGCCAGCGTCACGGAAAAAGTGGGCGATGATGAACCTCCTGCACGCACTGAATCCATAGGCGCACGACGAGAAGCGGACGGTGTTGGCCCCGGTAACTCACCTTTCAGCAGCCTAGAATGTCGGGCCAACAGCTCCTGGGAACGACGCTTCCTTTCCGCCCGAGCCGCAGCTTCGGCCTCCTCTTCCTCCCGTCTACGCTGTAGATCCTTCTCCAGCTTGTTGTTGTGGGAGACTATACGCTGTTCCCACAACGTGTACTCTGCACTACTCATGGTTTCGGTGTCCACATCTAGAAGATCGTCCGGCATTGGGGGGTTATAACCAGTAGCAGCAGCAGGAACAGCAGACTCCGGGTATGCCGGAAAACGGTGGGCGCCGTCCACTCCAACGGAAACTCCAGCGGAAACTCCAGGAAAATGGTCTCCCCGAGGCGGCAAAGCACCTACACCATCCGCTCTATATCCAGCGCCAACCGCTCCAGCTGACTTCGAATGCACTAACCTTCCAGCAGATCCAGCAGTCTCCGAAGACAACAAAGGCCTATCAGCTCCCACAGCTCCAGCGAAAACTCCAGCAGGATCAGCAACTCCAAATCTCGAAGCAGCAACTCCAACAGAAACACCTGCATGCTCCGAGGTATTCCGGGCCCCTGTCGTCACTTTACCTGAATCTGTAGATTGCTCAAAAGCATTATCCGGCACATTCTCCGACATCAACAGGTCGCCTCCGACATTCACGTCAGCTGCAGCAGATTCCGCGGGCAACAAAGTGCCTGTATCCTCAGGAACATGCAAAGCGGCATCCAAATGCAACAAATCGTTAGCAGCAGCATTAGTTCGCCGATGCTGAGCGAAAAGGGCCGACTGCCGTGCACGTTCAGCCTGTTCTGCTTCTTCTTGTGCCACCTGATCTGCCCAAAATAAACGAGTGTCCTCGTCGGAGAGGGATTCTTCCTGATCTTCGGCTTGCACCTGATTCTCACACTCCATACCAGCAGGGTCACTAGAAGAGCTATCATAATCGGCGGTAGAAACAGCAGAAGTACCCCCCATCGCAGGAGAGGGCAGCGGCGCAAAAGCAACACACAGATACCCACATGACAACATGCGGCCAGTGATGAAAGCTTGATGAGCTGGCAATTTGAGCGGAGCCAACCAAATAGAAAAGGCATTCAAAATGTCCTTGTTCCACAACCACACGGACGTGGACGCCAGCACAAAAGAACCCGTATCGGCCGGAGACACTAACGTCTTCGACCAAAAAGTGCGCAAAGCAGCCAACCGCTCCGGCACGAGGCGAGAAGGTGTACGTTTAGTCACGCCCGTCGGTTTGAGAGGGAGGTGTTGCTCCAGCTCAACGGCTTTCAAAGATAAAAATGTCCAAAAAAATACAGTCACGTTTTCACGAAAAACAGACGGGAAGCGAAAGGCGTGGCGCACACCCAAATGATGTGCAGCAAGAGCTCGCCAACTTGCGGTGCGCGGAGTCAAATCCGACAGCACCACCGGATAATCAGCAGATGCCGGGCGATATGCGGGCACAAAAGCAGTCTCGGCAGTGGATGAGGGAAGCATGCTGTCATCTCGCGCACGACCGCACAAAGCAAGTAGCCGTGGCTGCCGTGAACAAGTTTGGTCTGCTACTGAAATGACCTCGTGCAACGAAGTCACAGAGAGAAGAGCGCGAGGAGGTTGACGAACATACGAGAAGTCTCCTGCTACACCTGAAACATCTCCAATGCGAGAATCCGTCGCTAGATCCCAGTCACGTGCGCTCGCGGCAAACGCATCGTAGGCGGGCATCCGATCCCTGAGTGCCCGGGGCACTCAAAACAAGCTCTCGTAGTTGGTGAGACCTAAAATTGCAAGCAACAAGCAATCAGAAAAAAGAGAAGACACCAAGCAACAACGGGAGCAGCGCCGCGTCCAACGCTAGCTTACCCGTAGACTTGCCAGACGACGCCAGATATAAAGGAGGTCCAGCTGTTGGAAGCAGCTAGGTCCTAGGGTAAAGAAAGAGGTACGGTCGCTTGATGCCTTGTCTCCACGATTGTGTAGAAATGAGATGTTGCTTGAATTGAGAGCGAGGAAGGTCTGATTGAGGAGGGGATCCTCCTAGCAACCAGGGGGCACGCAGATAGCTGAGTCCTGATGTGGTATGATCCCTGAGAGGTATACCTCACGGACATCCCACATCCTATACTAGACTAAGATGTACCCTATCTAGGCCCTACAGCAACACTCCTTAACATTGTTTCCATATCCTACCATATGCAGTACGCACCGCTATCAACCTTGTCCACTCGTGGATTGTGCGAAAATGCACGTCCTCGCAAACATTTCCGTCTAGGTTGTTTTTTCGAAGGCCATGACCACTGCATCTGTCCACGACCTCAAGAACGACCTGAAGATGATGTTCGTGAAACGCTTCCTCGGCCATGGTTTCAAGCTCCCGGTCATCTTTTCCGGTGCGTTTTTTTTTTTCGGTTGCCTTGGGTAGCTTCCGTTTTCTCTTCCGAGCGTTTGTTCATGTTTTTCATGGAACTGTGCCGGGTAAGGCCGATGTTTAACCTCGTCCTCAATTTAACTTCTCTCACAGACGAATGCTGCGACGATAGACAACTGCTGCTTACGATGTTCAAGGAAATAGAGTTGGAGACTGGGGCGCGCTTGTACGACACAGCTGAAGAGGCGGGAGGGGGCTCTCCAGGGGTTGAAGTGTTGCCCGCGCTGGAGTTCCCGCCGGGCAAGCGCGGCGAGTGTGTCTTTGACTTCAGACCTAACTCTATCGCGCCGTCAGTCGTGGCCCTTACTGACGGCTGCCAGCTGCAGGGGAACGTTTTGGGTCTAGATTGTGAGTGGGAACCATCCTTGGCCGGCACCACACCTAACCCTGTCTCAACCGTTCAGCTTTCGCTTCCTGATGGCACGGCCTACTGCTTTCAACTTCAACGCGGAAACAAGAAAACGACTTCGTCGAACTTCCCGAAGGCCCTGCAAAACCTCTTGGAGAACCCTTCGATTGCAAAGGTACGCATCCACCGTTGCAGAGACTAAATTTCTACTCTTGAGAGTAACCGCCGGAGGAATTCGTGTCCTGATTTTCGTTGTGCTGACTCAGCTTTTCGTTCCTTCGCATCTGCAGGTCGGCGTCAACATCAATTCGGACGCGACGTATCTAGAGCGGGACTACGGGATTGAAGTCGCGAACACGGTGGACCTGCGAACGTACGCAAGACAGTGTTGGGTGGAGACCCCGAGTCGTTCGCTTGCGGGTATGGCGTCTTCTTTGCTCGGGAGACAATTACCCAAGGATCCAGTCATCCGCTCGTCTCGCTGGAGTTCTCCCCTCAGTGACAACCAGGTGACTTCTATCTTGTTTTGTGGCCCTTGTTCTTCTTTGTCAACTGCTTGATCGGTTGCGCCAATTTTTTCAACCTACTCATGTCATGCTTGGTTGACGCTTACTTTCTGCGACTTCATGACGCGGCCGTGGCAGGTGCAGTATGCCTGCCTGGATGCTTACGTCCGTTCTTGTTTACCAGGAGGTGGCGAAGTTCCAGGATCCTATTTTTTCCCCTCCTCCCGTGGAGCTGCATCCCGGAACAAAGGTGCGTGGACACAGTTTACCGGAGGTACCGAATCCTTGCGTTGTTCAGTCCAAAAAGACGCCAACCGCTGAACCTCATACCTGGGTTGGCTTTCAACATGAATTTCACGTGATCTCGCGTTCTACTGTTGCTATGTGTGTGCGTGTGTTTCTTTTTTTTTTCCATGATACCAGGTACGACTCTACAGCAACAACCATGCCAGCTGTGTTGGTGTTGGAGAAGTACAGGACGATGACACCGCTGCCGAAGCCTTGGCTGGCTGGTTCCCTGGCGCACGGAGGAAAGGGCGTCTAACGCAAGTCGTAGTCGGGTTGAGCGGGGTGTTCAAGCCTGCAGCGTACACCGCACACAAAGGTACACCTAGTGCGGCGTCTGGTGTGGGCCGCGTGACGATGGATGAGGCGTACAAAGGTGACCGGCTTGTACTTTGGGATGTCGCCCATGTTCGTCTCGTGAGCGACTGGAAACCATCTCCTGCAGCAGCAGCACCTTCATCGAATGAGAACGCAAGTGAAGCTTACAACGACAACGCCCAGTTCTTCACGTCCCCGAGACCTCCGCACGTGGTACGCTTACAAGGTAAATGCCTCCCTCCCACCTCCATTCGGTGAACATCGTGCTGAACACCCGCATGCCCCAGGTTTCAGGCAAGATTTTACTGACCCGCATTCGCACACGCAACATTTTTTCCCGCGTGTTCGCAGATGATGAAGACCCGGACGACGGCGATGAGGAGGAATATGATGGGCATGACTGCGGCGACCTTGGTAGTTCCGCCCGCGGCGATCACGGGTTCTGGGCAGGGGTCGAGGCCGGGGGCGGGGGGGGCGGAGCCGTCAACGGGACGGGCGGGGCCGGCAACGGGACGGGCGGAGCCGGCAGCGGGACGGGCGGAGTCGGCAGCGGGACGGGTGGAGCCGGCAGCGGCGGTGATGTCGACATGGATGACTGGGTGAGTGGTTCTCAACGCGTGGGTGGTAGCCTTTTCTTGTAGGTTGTTTTTTTCTTTGCGAAAAAATTCTCCTAATTCTATCCGGCATTCCAACATCGTTCTTCGGATGATGAATGTTTGCTGCTGTTGAATGTTTGTCAACTGTGTTCAGTTAGGTGACGAGCAGTGTGCGCTGCAGGTTCGCCTAGATATCTTCCACGCACTCCAGCGCATTTCAAGGCTGTGCAAGAAGAGTCATGGCGCCTTCAAGCCCTTCATGGCTCGACTGAGAGACGCTTGCTTCATTGTCAACCAGGATGACATCAAGGAGGTAAGTGCTGTTGAGGTCGTCGTCCTCGGTCTGATCAATACTTTTTCAAGGCTTAGACGTCGGCATGAACATTGTGTGTGCCTGGTTCGCCTGACATAGCCGACATCAATTCTCGTTCCAAACTGCAGGTAGAGCAGGCCCTTGGGTCCAAAGGGATGACACCAGAAGCCGTTGCTGAATATAAGGACAAGAATTGGACCTATTTCTTACGGAATTGCCGGCGGCTGGTGCCGGAGCGGCAACGATTGCTCGAGCGCTTCAATTCGGTGATTAATCAGTTCTGCAACGTAGTCGATGCGAAATCCGGAGAAGTACTTATTCGGCCGAAGGCAATGCAGGCCGTCGACCAGCTCCGCAAGCACATCGAAAGTGACTGCCTAAGCGACCCTCACGGTGTGCCATTGTACTACACAACGGGGCAGAATGCAGCGGGGATCACGACTCGTCGCTGCGTCCGAGGCACCAACTACACCGAGGTACCAGTCTTGTTCGCTGCGCGGTGTCCTTTTTATCTCAGGCTTTTCGTAGTAGCCCGTTCCTTGTTCAAATGCCTTCAGAACACATGGTCATAACCTCTAACGGTTGTGTTTAGTTTTCTTGGTGTACAGCGGTCGGCATTGGGTTTCGTGGTATGACTAACCTAGCTTCTTTCCCCGACTTCTTGGTGTACTTGCCGTGCAAGGGTTATCATCGCTACCTTCGCAGGCTGCTCTCATCGTACTGCGCATCTCCTGCACTGGCTCACTCCATTCTTCTCGAGTTCAACTACCGTTGGAACATCAGGATGGCTGTGAAGAACCGCGGCCTACCAAGGGAGGTTGGGGAGTTCTTCGATCAATTCGAGATTGAGATCATTCAACGTGAGACCTCTAGCTGGTACCCAGACAACCCCCTGTTTCCTGAATGGATCTCTGCGCTTGACGCAGCAGACACTGGTGAGAAGAGCGGCCTTTCTCAGAGCCTGTAGGGGCCTGCTAGTGGTGGAGACGCGCCGAGCGATCTTGTTGGCGAGCAAGGGTTGGCCTCAAACGCCATACCCATGCCAAAGCTCACGCGTTCTGCGAAGAAGTATGCCGAAATGATGAATACAGGCATGCCGGTCACGCCCGTCCACACTGGAGCAGAGAGACGAAAATTCGAGAGCGAGCTGAACAGTCAACTCTATGTGCCGGGAGACCCAATGGGGAGGACGCAGAACTACCAAAGAGTTAACTTTGATACTTGGGCAGTAGGGTGGAACCGGCATTGTGCCAGGATCGAGTCTGGTGCTGTGGAGTGGGAAGCAGTGTATCGTAAAACCTCGAATCAACTGCAGTCGTACTACCAATCTTTCATTGAGCTTGCTCACGCTAAAGTTACAATGCTGCCTTTGCGCTATGAGCATGCCGTGCTGCGTGCGCATCTACGGCAAGGTGAAGCGGGTTCGGCTTTTGGTGGTTCAGTCGGTGTCAGTGTCCCCCTTGCGGCTCCACGTAGTGTGGCCATGTCAGGAGGAGGTGCTGCGGGTGGGGAACACTTGTTGGAAGAAGATTCAGAGATAGTGGATGTAGGTGACCACGAAGATGTCATTTGCGGTGGCGGGTATGACATTGGTGGGGGTGGGGTTGAGGTACAAGCCAAACCAAAGGGCAAGAAACGCCGCAACCCGCAGATTTGCCAAACGTGCGGCCACCGCAGACAACAAGGCTCGTACAAGAGCGCGCACCCCCCCCCGCGGCGAGGCACCGGGGTGAGCCGGCAGCCTTGCAATGTGCCACCAGGGGAGTGTAGGCCGGAGAGTGAGAGAACAGGAAGGCTTAAGTTGGGACATAAGATGTGGTCTCTATGTGAGTGTGCGAAGTGCTGCTCAGCGGATGGTTGAGAAACAGACAGGGTGTTTTGTGTCGGCAGGGTTGCATCTACTGGATGTAGACCTATATGGTGAGTAAGTGTACAAAGAAAGTGTGTGGCGGCAATTTCCGGGTTACTTGGGAGACAGTTAATCAAAGAGTTACGAGCACGTTTATTGAGGGAGGGAGGGATGGAGGAAGAGAGGCAAGGAATGCGCGGCGAACGGGGGAGGGGGGTGTACTCATAGTCGTGCATGCCGTAGTCGTTTGACCATTGACCTCGCATCCCTACAAAGCCGGGACGGAGCACGCCGGGTTCTCACCGGACCAGGCTCTCACATCACCAAGCGCGAAGCGCCGTGAGGTATTTGGCGAGTCGCATGAAGGGTGAGCTGCATCCTGCTAAGGGTGTTCGGCATCTTGTGCTTACTCCCTTGCGTACGGATGACAGCTGCGTATGAGTTAATGTATTTTCTGGTGCTTTCACTTCCAGAGACAGTTGTAAGCACTGTGTAACTGCCTCGAGGAAGCTTGACCATTTTAACACAACGTGGTGCGATCATCCCCCGTTGCGCGGAGTGAGGTTTCTCGACCCCGCACAACATGATCTACTCGACCACCATTATGGTTACCGCCAAAAAAAAAAACGAGGTAAAAAAAAAACCCGGTAACCTGGTTGCCGAGTTCACGAAGTGAATTGGCTTGTTTTACAACGTCGTTGCCAAGCAACGAAAACCCAATCCCGATGGCAAACACCGAGTGGGGGGCTTGTTTTACAACGTCGTTGCCAAGCGACGAAAACCCAAACCCCTATGGCAAACACCGGGGGGGGCGGCTTGTTTTACAACGTCGTTGCCAAGCGACGAAAACCCAACCCCGATGGCAAACACCGGGGGGGGGGGGGGGGGGGGGTGGGGGACCCCTTTTTTTTTTTTAAAAAAGGGGGGGTTGGAAAACCAGAACAAAAAAAAAGGGGTGGTTTTTTTTCCCCGGGGAGAACTAATTTTTTAATTTGGGCCCCCCTTTTTAAAGGCCAAAGTTTTTTAAAAAAACCCCCAAAAAGGGCCAAACAAAGAAAAAAACCTGTTCCCTCCGGGAAAAAAGATTTAAAACCCCCCTTTAAAAAAAAAAGGAAATTTGGAACGGGGGGGACCCCGGGGGTTTTTTTCCCCTTAAAAAAATTTTTGGGGTTCCGGGGGAAAAAATTAAATTTTTTTTTTAAACCCCCCATTAAGGGAGGGGAGCCCCGGGGAAAGGTTTTAATTAAAAACCTTTCCAAAAACCCGTTTTTCTCGTTTTCCAACCCGGGACCTTTTTTTTTTTGGGTTGGGAATTTTTTTCCGCGGGACCCGTTTAAACCCAAAAAAGGGGGGCACCGGTGTAAAAATAGCGGTTTCGCAGAAAATGCCCCGAAAGTTTTTCCAAAAGGTGAAAGGG